TCAGGGGTGGTGGGGCTGGGCTGCTGCAGCCGTCTGTGGGGGCTGAACCTGCTGCAGAGTCGGTGTCAGTGCTGATCATCCTGCCAAGGAGCGTGCTGGCTGCTCGGGAAGGCAGAACAGCCCTGCTCTGCTTTAGCTCCCCATGTTCATGCAGAGATATAGAAAGCTGAAATCAAGCCTTCTCCTCCCCAAAGAGAAAGTGTTTCTCAATGATATCCATATTTCTCCTCAGAGTATGTGGTGCAGATGATCCCCAGAAACTTCTCGAGGGCAATTAAAGTGAGTCAGACTGTAGGAGAATTTGTTGTGCTGAACCTTATATTTCTCTTTCTACCCAGCTGAGTCAGAAGAGCTGCTTAGTGAAGAATTTGAAGAGGTTTCGGAAGCAGTTAGAAGCAGGAAAGCTTGAGGCAACAAAATGTGCCTTTATCCTGAAGACTTTCAGAATGCCTTCGGAGTACCATTTGTTTGTGTAAGAGTTTTGCAAGAATCCTGGCATCACTTGGATTATGAAACCGGTAAGTATGGGCTCTCCCAAGGAAAGTGAGCCAGAGATGAATGGATGCCTTCGTTCTGCAGAGGGAGGGGAAAATATGCAGGAAATCTGCAGGAAGACCTGGGCAGGGCAAGGTGGCCAGGAGCAGCAGTCAACACACACTAACAAAACACTTCTTCTTGTGTAATAATTTATTTCAGTGGTCAAAAGACGGCTCAGTTTATTTGTAGACCCAAAGTTAACTCAGTGGTGTGGGTATAAAGTGCAGAGTTCCTGTGTGGAAGAACAGATTGTGCTCCCAGGGGTTCTCACTGTGGGGTTATGGCCAAGTTTGTGCTCTGAAATCTTTCTGTTCAGCTGCAGGTGTGCAAGAAGGTGGGTGTGTGTGCAGGGCAGCTGTCTAATGGGCTTCTGGTTAAGCAGCAATCTAGGGCAGCCCCTAAAGATGGAGCTATGAAAACATCTGTTTGGTTTTAGGGAAATCCCACTACATTAGAGATCAGCCAGTGCAAGTCCAGCCAAGTTACTAAGTGGACTTCCATCCTGAGAATGTGAAGAGATCACAGGAAGCTCCATGAGCAGCCTGGAGTGCAAGTTGGTGAGTATTTGGTTGGCATTAGCTTCTCTCTGCTCTGCAGTTAGAGACCTGAAGGGCAGCCTCATGCTCTGAATCACATTTTTTCCCCCCAGACCTGTAGTTACCTGGAGCTGTGCTGAACACAGCAGCTTCCACTTCAGCTTGGGAACCAAGAAAAATTGTGTTTCCTTTAGGAACGACAGTGATACGTCGTGACCCTGAGAAACGCCTTGCTTCTGCCAGATGATTCGAGCCATTTAACGTCATGACTATCGTGCCGTGGTGCCTAATTAAAAAGCCACCCATCTGTGAGACCTGCAAGTGAGCAGTCCCCTTGCCTTGTGCAGCAGATCTGGCGAGGAGGCTGGGACAGGAGGATTTGCCTTACCCTGCGAGTCAGGCCTGTCGGTAAGGGCATGCTTGTGAGAAGTGAATGGGAAATAATTATGCAAACTAACATGTGAATTACAGCCAGGAGGATAGCAGCTAGTGATTATCTAACTCTACAAATGGGAACGTGTTAATTGGCAAAGGAAAACCTTACATTAAGCTGATTTTGTGCCCACAGCCTCAATTAACATAGTAAATAACCAGAACATGGTAAACAAGGATATATGAAGAGCCTGTGATTACTGGGATTATACCAGCAACTTAAACGAAATAGTTCGTGGCTGACCTCAAAACTCCCAGGAAAGTAAAAATAAACTGTGTTACTCCTTCTGTTGGTCTGGGCTCTTGAGCAGCCCTGTGTTGTGATGTCTCAGGTGGCCTGTCCCACACTCAGATGCAGTAGTGGATCAGGATGTGCACAGTGCCACATCCTGGGGCTGCAGGTGTTGTGGCCAGAAGGACCAGGGAAGTTCTCCTGCCCCTGTCCTGGGCACTGGTGAGGCTGCACCTCAAGTGCTGGGTTCAGTTTTTGGGCCCCTCGCTCCAAGAAGGACATGGAGGTGCTGGAGCGTGTCCAGAGAAGGGCAATGGAGCTGGGGAAGGGTCTGGAGCACAAGTGTGATGAGTTCCCGCTTGGGTTCATGATGGGACTCGATGAGCTTAAAGAGCTTTTCCAATCCAGGCAGCTCTGGGATGCTGTGATGTACAATTGTACTGTTTGGCATTGGATGCATCAGATGAACCTTGACACTTCTGACTCCTGCAAACACCTGTACCATTCAGCTGCCCTGTTGCTGCCACTGTCACCCTGTCTCTCTCCTGTCTTTTTTCATTGGAAAGCTGGTGTCAGCAGATCACTGGAGGTGTCAGTTTGACAAATCAGCTAGGACCGAAGCTGAAGTGTCCTGGTTTCATTGTTGGTGGATGAAGGTTGGCAGCCTTTCTTCTTCCTCAGCTTCACAGAGCGTAAGGGAGCGTAAGGACAGGGTGATTCATGGGGGAGAAGTATTTGATTTCCTGTGTGTCACTCTTGTGACTGGATTGAGTTTGATGTGTTAATCAAATCAAAGCTATCCCACCTCAATTTGAGGGCTTAGGAGACAGGAAAATCCATCACTTCTCTTTGTGAAAGTTCAGTGGAGTTCATGCTTGCTCTGAATGATCAAAAGCTGTTCCAGAGGGAGGGCAGAGCACGCTGCCTTGGGTGAAGGCACACTGAGGTTTGGAGTCGTGCTGACAGGAAGAGCTCTGTGCCCTCTGTGAGGTGCAGTACCAGCTCAGGACAGTCACTTTCATTTTCCAGATGTGACTCTTGATTACTTTTAATTTTTATTTTTTTCCTGCAGTTTTTAGTACAATATCATCGTGTAGTGTTTGATTTAAGCTCAGGTGGCTGAAGCATGTGGTTACAGACAGGGATGATAATTGGCACTGGGCAGAAGAGGACTGTTTTGCTTGTTCAGTGTCTGTCTTTGATCCCTATCTCTACATCATTCCAGATGTTCATCTCACCAACGCACCCGATGGGCATCCCGGGAAGGTGCGGGGTACGCGCTGCCTGCAGGATGTTCCCCCTCTGCCTCTCGCTGGGGCTCTCCTGGCAGATGGGAGCGAGCTGACCTCATCCTGCCAGCTGCTGTGCACACGTGTGCTGCAGGCACTGGGCTCTGCTGCCTGCTCTCCTGATACCCATAAATATGATTTCATTGAGAGCAGCTTTAGGAGAGAGGCTGGGTGAACGTGCTGCTTTAATGTTGCTTTGCAGCTGTCTGAGCATCTATAAGGCCGATCTTTTTGACTTTAAACCCAATAACTTTCTGGTTAGCACTCTTCTGAGAGGTTGATATGTTATAGCTTAGCCCTTTGCTTCTAAGACCTCAGCGGTACAACAAGGTTAATGTTGATGGACAGGACTGTCACTGTTAAGCTTTCTGTCTCAAGAGGTGGCAGCTGAGAGAAAGAGAGGGAGAGGGGGGGAAAAAAATGTTAAATGGGACATCATATTCCTCGTGAATCAGGGATGAGGGTCAATGTTTGAAAGTAATAGAGGATGGTGTTGAACTTCCCTATTTATAGGCTGCTCCCTCCTATAAATCTCTCTTGTCTGTATGGAAAGGAGAGTCTTTGCAGTACCTTGAGAGAAGACAGGATGTTGGTTGCTGTTAGGGAGCTTCTGATGGGGACCTGGGGACTTTTTTTTCCCTGCAGCTGTACAGTAATCAACCCTGAAGAGTTCAACTGCATCGTGGGGCTGGTGGCCCCTGCGTTCTGGTCTTTGGCTTTTTGCTAAGAATTCTTGCTGGGCTGTGGAGACTTGTAGGGTGATGATTAAAAAAATCATGTGGACTAAATGTGTGGTGATGTGTTGGGAACAGTGAGTACGGTTGTGTTGGGATGTCTCAGGGCTCCACGTGGATGATTGAGCAGCTCAGACAGTGCTCGACCGTCAAGTGTGGGGCAGGGTCAGCGGACGTTCTCTGTGTGGACATGGACAATGCCTTCATCCAGAGCCTCCCAAGCGTTCAGAAGGGGATTAGCAGTGACAATCACTGCTTTGAGCTCTATGGCTGTGACATCCTGGTCCATCAAGATCTGAAAATGTTAATAAACATACAGGGGGTTATGGTCTCAGGCCAGCTGCTTTGCCTGGGACAGGGGCAGCTCGTGATACCGCTGCATCTTGTAGGTAGGTGCTTGAGCCAGGCTGGAACTGCAAGTGAAGGGTAGAGAGGTTTGTTTTCCATGAAGGGTTGTGGTGTCTGGAAGAAATACAGCTGGTTTTGCTCAGAGTACCAGAGTTTGAGCTGGGTGCAGCACCCTCTCACTTTGTCCATAGGATCTCTAGCACTGTGTTGTGAAACTGCCAATCTGGCTATTTGTGGAATATGTTCCCCTCCAAGTATCAGCATATCGCAAGTATTGCAGCACTTGCCAGAGATGGAGGGTCACCATCAGCTGTTCTGCTGCTTTGTATCTTATAGCAGTGCCCCAGCAGCTCTGATGAACCTCCAGTGCCCCATCATCAGCACTGTTTATCACTGATAAACCTCCAGCCAGTGCCATTTGGCTGCCAGCACTAAACATGACCTGTGTCTGTGGAGCACTGGCTAAAAGGCAGACCCCAGCTGGAAGAGGTCCCTCCTGCTAACTGTGGAGAAAAGAACTCCACAGGATTTGAGGCTGTTTAAAACAAAACAACAACAAAAAAACCCCTTTAAAACATAATTTTACTCTAGATGGTTGTATGTTTGTTTGTTTTTAAATACAGCTTTTCTCACTGGCTAAGTGAAAAATACATATCGTTAAAGTTCAGCTGAAATTCTCAGAATTTTATCTGCCACGGACACAACCCAAGTGTTGCAACAGCAGGAGCCTGAGAGCACAGCTGACTTGTCATTACAGGAGCTGAGAAAAATAGAAACAGCAAATAGTACTTCAGAAATGACAAGCAAATAGGATTATTATTCTCTCAGCCTTAATCACGTAAAGTGCAAGCATTACCATAGGTAAGGAAATTTCCCCTAGATATGATTTATGTTGATTGTGTCTCCCACTGAATGTCTTCTCTAATTTATTATTTTTAACTCTTCCCTCTAACAAGACGTGGTAGCTGATATACCTGTTACAGCCCTGTGTCCTGTCTGCATCAGTCCAACATTTCACATGGTGCCACTGGGGACAGCTTTATTTCAAAGGAACAAAGAAATGCAGCTCAGCTGTGGTCCTGGATAGCTCCAATTTGCACAATCTACTCAGTTCGTAGCCTCCAACCAGATTAGTGCCCAGGCAGCCTACATGTAAAGAGCTGGAGTCGCTTCAGTTGGTCAGGAAACAAATGAATCAGTGGAAGTTCTGGATGCTGTCTCTGCTCAGACATCGCTGCGGGGCTCTCGCAGGGGAGCTGCTTGAACACTGTGTTGTGCTAGAAAACTGTTCCTGGGAGACATCAGCATAAAAAAGAGTTAATGCTCATTCTGTGAATTCTCCTCAGCATTTACTGCTTCAGCTAGACTTTGGTTTTCACTTGCATGTCTTTCTGGAAGCTGGAGGGATTTTTTTTTTTCTTTAGTACCATCAGAACAGGAATAGAAACTTTGCAATGAGCTCAGAATGTTCTTTGGCTCGGTGCATGGGAAAGAGATTTAGGGTTGGATTTCCTATTGCTTCACACTTAGTCCTGCCTGCTAGCAGGGTAATGGCTTTGTGCACAGGCATTTCTCTTAGATGAACCATTGGCAAAACTGCCTGTTTCTCCCTAATTTGCTGTTGCTGTGTCTCCTCAGCTGGATTCTAGAGGTGAATGCTTCCCCTTCCCTCACCACCAGTAGCCAGGAGGACTGTGAACTCGAGTGTCAACCTCTCAAAGACATGCTTCGTATTGTGGACAGGGAGGGCAGGTGGGAAAAGATGTTTATTACCTTCTAAGGGGTTTTATTGAAATGTTTGGAATTAGATGGTCTGGTTCCAGGTCTTTCTTGGCAACTGGTCATAATATTCTAACCTTTATAACAATTAAACGATGAATTTCCAGAAACAGAGCAAAGTAGGCAAGTGTTCTGCCACTTCAGAGTGGGAAAACAAAGCACCACAGGGCTGCAGAAGGAATGGAGTCCATGTCAGAGCTGGGACTTGCACAAGAGTCTCTTTCAGGGGCCCTTCTGCATTGTGCCTCCCACACTCACCACGTCTGGAGCGCTCTGTTCCAAGGAGCTTGTCTTGCAGCATTTTGTGATTGGATTTATGACTGTGCTAACCTCAGATATTAACAGCAGAAAGATGTCCACTGCCTTCAGCTCTGCCTCTGTCTGTGCACAGGCAGAGAATTGTAATTGCTTAGGTGCTTCAGTACGTGCATTTGATGCTGTAGGCTGATGAGAAGTGTGTTGGAGGCTTTGACTTGATACAGAATGATGGGCCTGTCAGCAGAGCAGGAGACCCGGGTACCGCGGTGAATGAGAATGTCGTGGCACACACACGTAGGGGTGTGTTCTCATCTGGCACTAGCAGGGTGTCCTGCTCGTGTCCTTAAGCTGTCTGCACCTCAACAAGAGGAGAGCACACACCTTTCACTCGAGAGCTAAAGAACAGGAACAGTGTGTGAGCTCTGGTGGGAGCTAAGAGACCAAAAGGAGCAAATGCTTTTGGATGTAAGTGCCAGAAGCGCTGTTGAAAACATGCACGTAAGTGTAGCGGGAACAGTTTTGTTCTCAGTCCTGCTTTTCAAGCGTTAAGTCACAGCAGAGTTCTTCATCTGCCAGCTTTGCTGCAAAAACCACTCTACAGTGACTGTGGTGACCACTTACTGGGCACTTTCTGGAAGCTATTGTGTGTTTTACTGTTGGGAAGCAGCACTCAGATTCTGAAGTCGTGCTTCTGAGAGGCTGACGTGTTGTAACTTTATTTTGCAGGACTCAACTTGGTGTGCCTACGCTCACCTCTGGCTGTAGTTTCTAACTAACAAAACACAAGTACAGCTTCACCTGGAAGTGGGACCTTACCTCACCTCTATAGGAAGGAAGGGTAAGGTGAATGTATTAACATTTTCATTGCAGGCTGCTGCCATGATGGGAATAAACAACTGAAGCAGCTTTTCAGGAACCTTCCTGCACAGCAGAAAGTGTAACGCTGATCCCAAGCTTGGGAGGGGAGAGATCACCATGGATGAAATTCACTTTCTCTTCCTCACAGTGTGCAGTAGCAGTTCCCACTTCTCTCTGGCCACTGCTGGCTCAGCACTGCTGCTTCTAAAGGTTTCCCAGCTTGGAAGCTCCAGTAAGCTCAAACGAAATGTTTCATAACGGCTGACACAAGGGACGCTGACTGTCCATCTGTACTCCAGTGCTTAAGGGGCTAAACACACCCTGCAGAGCAAAACAAAGCTTTTGGGGAAGGCAGGCACCTGATCCTCCTACTGCTACTACTATGGGAACATGGCAGAGCAGAAAACCTGTTGCCATGATACTGTAAAAATAACCTCTCATAACATCACATGTTCCAGGGCTGCTGCCTGGCTGTACTACAGCTTATATAAGAGTGAGGCTGTAGCACAGGGACTTGGCACTGGGCTGCCACTGGCTTCCAGGAGAGATGCAATTTTCTGAAAAAGCAACAGGCCAGGCAGTTCAGGTAATAACCTGATGTTATTTTTAATCTCTGTACCTGAAGTTTAAGCCTCACTGCTTGCAGTCAGACGTTTAGGGTACGCGGCGTTAGCTACAGAATTTTAAAACTTAGGTTAAAAAAATGGTAGTTGGCTTTTTAGGTTTAAAGAAATCGCCCCTCAGTTCTCAGGAGTCTGAAACAATGTCTTCTGTGGAATTCTTGCCCAATTTGAAGTGTGTGTGGAACCAGACGAGGCAGTGCAGGGCTGCCTGGAGGAGGCACCGCTGACCTGTTTGGCTGGAGGCGGTGAGGGAGCCAGGAAAACGCTGGTGCTGCAGGTGGAGTTGTGCAGGGCTGTGCAGGAGGGACGGGAGCGAGGGATCACACATGTGAGGTCTGACAGAACAGCTGAGCTACCCTGAGAGCTGGAGAAAGGACAGCTGCTGTGTTTGAAGTTTTTCAACTCTATCCACAAATGTCTTTATAGAAGTTAAAAAAATCAAGGGCAGGGCAGGGCCCAGACACTTCCCTGTACACAGAAAAAAACCCACCTCGCTGTACTCCCTTACTAATTCTGATTATAAAATCTTCTTCTGGTCTTAACCAAGTTGTGCTGGGGTAGCACGTTCAGATTAAGGAGGGTAGTGCTGAAAACAATAAATGGTTAAAACCTTTGAAGAAGCCATTACTGGTTCAATCAATTGTCCTTTTATACGAGACAGGCTCAGGGACTATTCCTGCTCAGCTCTCTTCAGGCTGCTTTTTTTAAAATACACATATTTTATCCCTTCATCTAGTTGTGAAAGCTGTTCTGTGATTTCCTGCCTTCCAACTTAACAGTAGACATGTTTTCCCAGCAAGACTAAAAGGATGCTGCCACCCCCTGTTCCTCCCTACACATCTTTAAAGAGATTCCTGACGTGTTTCAGATGTATGGCTTTGCTTTGTTTTAATACCACAGGCGCACACAATTCCTCTTCTGTGCTCCGGGCACGCTGTGGATTCCCAATTCCTCCTACTCCTGTTCCTGACACCACTGTGAACCAGCTCTGAAGCCAAACTCCAGAAGCACTCGCATAAAAACCCAGCAAAGAACAAACACACAGAGTTAGGAATGTCCTGCTGCTCTGATTTTAATAATCCCCCTTCCACCCTGGCCACGGGCGCTGGCCCATCGCTGTGTCCCAGCACGCGGCTCTGCTACCTGGGCTGTGGCAAGGAGCAGGAAGGGTTTGTGATCCACAGAAACTGCAGCATCGTAGCTGAGGAGCCCAAACCTTTCCAGGTGAGCTCCAGGCATGCCAACGTCCTGCAGAGCTCAAAGGCTGCGAGTACTGCAGTGTGATCTCCACGGGTGACAGCCCAAATACACACTGTGACGGTGACACAGCCACCTCAGCCCTCCAGGATGCGATTGATGAGCTTCATTTCCTCAGCTGTCATGGGGTTCAGGTTAAATCCCTTCAGCTCAGCTTTACCTGAGAGAACACAGAGTACAATCCGGATTTTGCTACAAAATAAGTGAAGCAGTCGACTTTAAACTCTGGAGGAGCTGCGGGGAGGGCAGGGACAGCCCTGGAAGCTGACGCGGGGTCACCCTGGTGTGATGTGGGAGCCCACTGAGTGTGCTGGTGGGTGACAGCTCCGCACCAGGAGCCGGACAGTGCTGCTGGAGCAGGGAACTGCAAAGCCAGAGGGGCAGCGGCTGCAGGAACACACAGAGCTCGGGAGTTCCTGGACCCTCCTGACACAGGTGACGTCTGCTCCCAGATACTGAGAAGGTTCCAGAACAGGAGCATTTACCTTGAGCTTCAAAGAGGCGGTTGACCTTCACGCGCAGCTCCTTACGGAGGTTGTTTATCTCCTCATCTAGATGTTCCTGGTCTGAGAGAAGTGGGAGAGGAGTGAGGAGGAGGTTGGGCTCTGGGGAGCAGGCAGAACCTCCTGCAGGATGGTCAGTGTGGGAGCTGAGGCCTGGGGAGCAGGAGAGGGCTCTTCCCCAGCTGCCTCGGGGTCCCACCCAGCCCTCTGCTGCCTGCAGGGCTGAGCCCCAGGTTGCTCCGTGCCAGAAAGTGCTTCCCCAGTGTGGTGGTTTGAACCCAGCCCGCAGCCAAACACCAGGCAGCTGCTCGCTCACCCTCCCCTGCCCGGGACAGCCGAGAGATGGCAACGGCCAGACTCTGCCTGTGGCTGCTGGCGAGAGGCTCTG